ATTAGTTCAAGCTTTGCGATGGCATGACAACCCTTCCTTACAATTCGAAGCAGCTTGGGCACTGACAAACATTGCATCAGGAACATCACAACAAACGCAAGCAGTTGTGAACGCAGATGCAGTACCATTTTTCTTTGACTTGTTGAGGTCACCACACCAAAATGTCTGCGAACAAGCTGTTTGGGCATTGAGTAACATAATTGGAGACGAGCCGCAGCTTTGAGACTACGTTATTAAACTTGGTGTGGTGCAGCCACTACTGTCATTCATCAAGCCTTCCATGCCACTAACATTCTTGCGTGATGTTACCTGGGTCATTGTTAACCTTTGTCGAAATAAAGACCCTCCACCAATGCTGGAAACCATCAGAGAAATCCTGCCTTCCTTATGTCTCCTCATTCACCACACGAACAACAACATTCTGGTGGACACAGTGTGGTCTATTTCCTACTTAACGGATGGCGGCAATGAGCAGATACAGTGGGTGATTGACTCAGGTGTGATGCCCCTGCTGGTGCCTTTACGTAGCCACAAGAAGGTGAAAATGTAGACTGCTGCATTGAAAGCGGTAGGAAACATTGTTTCAGGCACTGATGAGCAGACGCAATTGGTACTCAACTGTGATGCGCAGGTGCACTTCCCTGCACTGCTGACACATCCCAAAGAGAAAATCAACAAGGAGGCAGTGTGGTTCCTGTCAAGCATCACTGCTAGTAACTACCAGCAGGTTCAAGCTGTGATTGATGCTGGTTTGATTCCAATGGTTATCCATCATCTCATAAAGGGAGAGTTTCAGATGCAGAAGGAAGTAGCTTGGGCCATCTCCAACTTGACCACTAGTGGCACTTATGTCCAGGTGTCCTACTTAGTGGAGCAGAGAGTTGTGGCACCTCAGTGTAACCTGCTGACTGTGTGAGATCCGCAGGTAATGCAGGTTTTTCTAGAAGGTCTCAACAACATCCTCAAGATTGCCATTGTAGCCCCAAGGACTTTTGTAAAGCCGCCATGCCCATGGCGAAGCCAACCCGTCCACCTCTTTTTTTCATTCCGAACACTGCTCTGATCCTAATGATGACATCACCACTCCTTGTCTTCTACATAATTTTCATCATCCTCCGCGCCCCCACAGTGAATGACAACGGAAAACACTAAAATTGCACATGGGCTCCGAGTACACAATGTTCATCAATACGAGTTCCATGTCCGTCCTTGTATAGAATCATCCGGATTTCTTTGTGTGCTTGGCCTTCCAGCGATGTTTACGGCGCTTGTTCTACGCTCTTGCCAGTGGACGTGTCACTTTCAGTAAACTGCTTTCTACGATCGGTTTTCTTGGGCAGGAAGGTCCATTATGCAGACTCTTCTACAAATTTCTGGTGTAGCTGTTCCTCAGAACTTTTCTTGATTTCTTTCTCTAGGCTGCCCTTGCCTTGGGAGCATCAGCACTTTCACTCTCCGTTGGTCTGGGCTGTCTTATTCGGGGGGTTGACGTTGTCTTGACATTTTCCATCTTTGCAATTATATGCCGTGCCAACCACAGTCTCTCTAATCTTGACTTCTGTGGCTTACCTGAAGTGCAGTAGTTTTGATAAGTACTGGCAGTAGGCTTCCGTTTTCTCGTTAACTTTGAATTTATCTTTTCTAGGTGAAATGGCATTGATTTTCTTTCATCAGGTATTTGGTTGCACAGAGGTGAGGACTGCGATGCAACAAAATTTGGTGTCTTTGGCGTGCAATCATCCTCAAGCTCTGGTGTGTCATTTTTTAGATTTTCAGATGCCTTCTGCTTTTCCTTCGTACAAGTCTTTTCCAGCATGTGCACTTGAGTAGTTGTACTGTCGTGTCGTTTGCTTCATTAATAGTGTATGCTGATGGAAGTTCTAAAGGCGTGGGCTAGTTCTTTGGAAGTAGTGGTTGTTCTGCACGTGCTTGAATGCTCGTTACGGTACTGAAATCGGTGACTTTCCGGCTTCCAGCACGTTCAGCAATTCGTCGTGAGTCTGAGCCGTCTAGCTTCCATAGAACAAGAGTGCTGCTGAAAAAGCAAAAGCTAGAGGGCGGTGCCATAGATGAAAAGTGCACGTTAGCTTGTACTTCTGTCGAAATCTTTTGCCTCATGACGTCCAAGCGAGCTTGTCTAGCATTTAATGCGTCCGTGATTTCATATTCCACTCTGACCTTGGCTAGAATGATTTGGTGTTCATAAAGCTCTGCTTCCTCTATCTCTGCTTCCAAATGATTGATGTCCACTGTGTTTTCAATCTCCTCATCGATTCTTCTGAGAAGCTCGTACTGTTCAGTCAAAATTTGGTGAATTTTGCGCAACTCACAGATTGATGGGTGGTCCATATGCCGTAGGTGTTCGATATCTGCGATGACCTGCGTGGTGGCCTTGCGTGTTTGACTCTGCCTTTCGTAGAGGGCCTCCATGATCCGGTCCAGAGTCGGAAACGGGAGAAATCACTGGCCGGCCGTGTCACGAGGCAAAGCCAAAGTCAACACGGCATCCATCGAAGAAGGTTCGCACAACGAATATCCGTCACCTGTTAGGCTGTCGTTCATGATCTTGAGCATATTGGGCCATCGTCCCGAAGGGCGAGTCAGGACAGAGCCGAAGTAGATGTGAGGGCTCCCATCTCACGAACCTCCAGACGATGCCTGCACTCATGTCATTCCATGGGTGCTCCTAGTAGTCTTGGTTGCAACCGGAGTCGTCTTCCCAGGTCACAGTAGTGGTTAGCGGTGTGGGGGCGCGGATGATGTTGAAAATTAAGTAGAAGACAAGAAATGGTAATATCATCATTAAGATTAGAGCAGTGTTTGGAATAAGGAAGAGCCCCGCCACGGTGGTCTAGTGGCTAAGGTACTCGGCTGCTGACCCGCAGGTCGCGGGATCAAATCCCGGCTGTCGCGGCTACATTTCCAATGGAGGTGGAAATGTTGTAGGCCCGTGTACTCAGATTTGGGTGCACGTTAAAGAACCCCTGGTGGTCAAAATTTCCAGAGCCCTCTACTACGGCGTCTCTCATAATCATATGGTGGTTTTGGGACGTTAAACCCCACAAATCAATCAATGGAATAAAGAAGAGGTGGACGGGTGGGCTTCACCATGGGCACGGTGGCTCGTTCTTTCCTCAACAATGCATATAAAATGGCTTAAATTTTGTGACATCAATGACTTCTGCTCGTGCGCTGCGTCACTGAATGTTTCTATATCAGGGAAGAATGACTTCCTACTCTAATGCACCGAGACATCTAAATGTTTGTAAGGATCGAAGCACCGGTGGAGAAGCTTTCAGTCTGTGTCGGCACATCCACGTGCAGACCCACATGTGGTCACCGGGTCGATATTTCGTATGGTGTCTCTGGAGGCTATAGTGATGGCTGTCGATTCTCTGCTGCTTCTTGATACGCAGATGGCTGGGGTGTCACGCTTCTTTGATCTGTTGCAATGAAGCGACGACTTCGAGCACGTCATGGTTGTTGGCAATTTGCAGCATTAGATGTGCATTGTTTCTTGTACTGCCGAGTTACAAGCGAGAGCCACGCATGAATAATGACGCTGCAACTCTTCTATTTGACATCAACCTAATTTGCGAGCATGTCGGCGAGGGTTTTATGCAGATGCTTGTTGAGGCCATTTCTCTGGGGTTAGAAAGCTATAGATCTGCCCGTGGGTTTGCCGTAAAAGCTTTACCCCTGTCAGTGAAAAGGACATCCAGGGCATCGATCTCAAGAATGTTCTTGAAGAGGAGCTTCACTACCTTGGGGCAACACCCTTAAGCAGGGCCCTGATTTCGGCTTTGCGAGAGGTAATTCGTGGCTACTTGTTGCTGGGCATTGATGTAGGAATCATAAAACAACTTCCGCTTGCAAGTGTATTCTCAGGCAACCCATTCTTAAATGTTGTGTAAAAAAAATTCGGCAGATCCCACGCACCTGAGAATCAACGTTTTGCGAAGCATGCAGAGTGAAGGCGACTGTGTTGCAATATTTTTGTTGGGTGACTTGTCATGAAATGATGCTAAATATATGTACAAATGTTACACGCACAGACATATGTTTACATAACCAGTTGTTTGCACTTGCCCAACGGAACATGTGTATTAGAAACACCAGAAGCTGATATGAAGCACTGATGCTCGCGATGATGCTGGCCCTGGACTCTGCTACATAAATCAACTTCAGCGCATGGCAACTAATCACAAACCCAATGTGACAGCTGTATCGAGGGAGTACATATGTAATGTTTATAAAATTGAATAGGCAGCACTGCAAGTACTATTGACGTTTCACGAAGATTGGCATCTATTTGAAAAGTATTTGCAAGACCTGGCGTGACTCTGTGGTAAAATGCTTCATTGCCACGCAGAATGCTTGGGTTCAATTCCAGCTGGGACCCTGGCACTTATTCTTTGCATTCAGTGGGTCGACGCTACCGATGTCGGGTATTTCTTGATGCTTACACGTTAAAATTGCCCATGTGTGTTCTCGTCCTTCCTGGGTAGATACTAAGTGCCAACTACCTGTGGCATATACCCGCATACCAGCGGCACATATCTGCTCCTGAGTATGTGCCACTGTCTGGCGGGAAGTGTTTGATGACGTGCGCGACGGCATTGTAATATTATTCATGTCTTGACCAGCGCGTCATATTCGTCAAATCATCTTACCCTCCCATGCTAATTTTGGTTCACGTCACATTAAGGGGGTGACCACGAGAGTGCCCAAATGTAAGCGGCTAGACAGACAGACAGACAGACAGACGGACAGACAGAACAACAGACAGACAGACAGACACGCTCAAGGTCGCTGAAGTTCGCTAAGCGATGCTTCGCATTTAAAACATGTTTAGGCTTCTGCTAAATTTCTTTGTGGTGCATAACAATGGCTGCAAAGAAAAGCTTAGTTCGTGTAGTTGCTTATCAAAATATTTTTTTTTAAAAGTGTTAGTCATTAACGAACCCTGTAAATCTGTGTTCCACACGGCTTTCTTGCAGCTTTTTGACAAGATGCGAAAATTGTACCATGACCAAGTGGACAACGTGGATCTTTTCGTGGGTGGCATGCTGGAGTCTGACGAAGGCCGCCCGGGTCCGCTCTTTCGAAAAATCATACGAGAGCAGTTTGAACGTCTCCGGGATGCCGACCGTTTCTGGTTCGAGAACCGACAAAATGGGTGCGTTAAGTTTGCCTTTTTTGCACTGGGCAGCAAGAGTGGCTTAGGCTCGTTGCTTATCCTGGGAAGGGATGTGATTAAAGAGAAAACGATGCGCTTGCAAACCAGATTACGTTCAACTGGTCAATGCTGTTCACTTCAGGTAGTTGCCGAACACAATAACCCTGTCCAACACTTCAGACAGGCCCACAATGTGTTAAGTTTTTTGTTACTACTAGACTACAAGGCCAGATTTCACTCAGTTGTGTAAAATAGCTCCTAATGGCTATGGACAAGCTATACCCTAAACTATTGGCGTTTCATCAACCACAATGAGCATTACGTATACAAATAAACTACTTCGTTATGGTTATTTTGTTTTACAAAGAAATATATGATTTTTTGTAGTATACTTCTACATTTATTGCTGCTTCGTGCTTAACTTTTAAGTTGTCTCGCCTGACAATAAGGAGGCCAGAATCAAGAATTTCTAGTGCTGCAGATGAATGTAGGATTTTCTTATGAAGCACCATGTCCAAGGATTGCGAGATCTTGGTTCTGTTTCTTTACCACTGCAAGATCTCGTGTTTTAGAATTTATCGAAGTTACTTTCTAAGGATACAATTAACGTGAACTTGATAGACCACAAGTAAGTCTTTGGGCCTAACAGACCAATTGGTAAACCTTGTACTCTATTAAGCATCCGATTGATTGATATCTGGGGTTTAACGTCCCAAAACCACCATATGATTATGAGAGACGCCGTAGTGGAGGGCTCCGGAAATTTCGACCACCTGTGGTTCTTGAACATGCTCTCAAATCTGAGCACACGGGCCTACAGCATTTCTGCCTCCATCGAAAATGCAGCTGCCACAGCTGGGATTCGATCCTGCGACCTCTATTAAGCATTCATGGTACAGGAAATTAACTATTTTCTTCGTAAAGCACAACATCGGGCATTTCACTAAGCCGCGAAGCTCTGTGTTCTGACTGAAAGTACGAAAATCATTAGAAAACTGTGAGGGGAAAAGTGAGCAAAACGGAACTAAAACAGACGACACAGCGTATCATGTACAAACACAGCATATCATGTACTGATGTAGCAACGAAGGAGGCACACTATCATGCTCCAACTTGCCCTTCAGGACACTTTTTTGCAATCATCAGAAAAGTTGCTCTGAAAAGTAAATAGCATGCATACAATACTTACGCAGCTTGTGCTTCCATAAATGTAACTGAAGCATGAGGGACAGCTATTTAAAAATTATAAAGTGACTTCCCGTAACACACTAGGTGAACGGCGGTCAAAGTACAAGAGAAGCTCAGGGCTGTTCACAGAAACATAACGAGTAGCATCTTGGTTCTATTTTACGGTTAATCAAATCTGTGATGCGTGTGTTCTTGCATACATTGATTTTTTAACAACTGGTCCAGCTTGCTTGCTATCTTCTCCAAAAGATTGGTACGCCACTCCAAAACAAGATTTTGGCTCCTTGAGGAGCTTCACCGAAGTGGGGACGGTCGATCACATCACGACCCTCATGCAGTTAAATCCTGAAACAGCACCAAGAACTACAGTACAATAAGTACCACAAGTACTGTACTGAATTACAACATACTCTATTGCAATGGCCAGGTGTCATATATAAGTATAGTGAAATAATTTCATACATGAGTATAGCGATGGCTGGTGGAAGGTGACTCTTGCATGTTTCGAACATCTCTTCACAAATAATGCGCATGATTGCCTTCAGTGCTGACCACGAAGTTGTCGCGATGACTGTTGAACATAAATATGAATCGACTAGCCGGTAGCTGGATAGGTCAACGGCACTAATAGCGAGTTTGGTCTTGGCATAGTATCTATAGAAATAGCTGCGAACAATGCTCTCTCTGACGTGTCTTCATTTGGCTTCTGTTACAGGGAACCTCACGTGTTCAGCAACCACGTAACCATGTCCTAATCTATGCTCAAAATGTCTAGAGTAGATCGCCATTGACAATGAAAACCATCGTGAGAGTGCAACAAAACACAATACACAAGAAGAAACAGACAAGGACAGGCATACACTACCAACTTCAGTTCGTAGCGTGCGCCTGTCCTCGTCTGTTTTTTCTCGTGTGTCATTGTAGCCATTGATGAATATAGGAGCCTTCTGTGTTGAGGCTGCTATGTAACATTTGTTGTCGGAGCTTTTGTCACCGATGGCATTTTCAAGTACCATATTTACGCACGTAATGAACCCACTTTTTTCAGGAAAGTTCACGCCACTTTAGGGGGAGGGTTCATTATGCGTAAGAAAAAAGTCACGGCAGTTACAACAGCAAGAATCTCGGGTGACGACTTTGCTTGTTTGGGCCTGTGAAATGCGCGACAAATCTTTTTTGTAGCCCAAAGCTCTTTTGTTTCTGCTCCTAACAAAACCGCCCGGATCAATGCCGAAGTGTCGTTTAGCCACTCGTTTCCAATGCTCCAGCGCATGCTATTTGTAACCAGCCGTGCAGCTAGTGCACCGGCCAGAGGCGCCCTGCTCAGGAGGTGTCCCAACTGAGTTTAGAACGACAAACCCTACAACAAAAAAGTCAGTTTTGCCGCAAGGGTGAAGCAATGAATGTGATAGCAACAGCTTAGAATGTAACTCTGAGAACGGCTAGCAGATTGAAATGTGCAGCACGCTGTTCACGCACACATGACGCACGAAAACAACACACACAGGAGGAGAGCGAACAAACAATATTTACCGCTCGACACGTAAAGCACTGTGTAAACAAAAACAAAGCACTAAATGTAATCACAGGTACAGATGAGTGCAAACAAGTGTCCGGGTTATTTTTTCTCTGTGTTTGAAAAGCACGCTCTTTTCGCAAGCTCTCCAGTGAGCAAAGTGATCTTTGTGTGCCCGGCAACTAAACGTAATCTCTGCGATCAAAGCCGAAGGCGCTCGGTTCTTCAGTAACAGAAGTGTAACAGAAGGTCAGTAACAGAAGTGCTTTTGTTGCTAAGAAATTGAGTAATTATTTTTTAGTTCAGCTACCGAGCCCACGGTGCTGCGTTGTGATTATAGTATAACCTCGTTACAACGGACTCGGGTTCAACGGACATTCGGATACTACGTACCGATTCGCGGCGTTATGCTGATCTCCCTATCTTTTCCATTGATTGAGCTTCGTTTACAACGGACTCGGGTACAACGGACATTCGGATATAATTGACTAAATTGTGACGCCAGCAAGGTGGTCAGGCCTCCTTTACAGCGGACTTTTCTATCACAAACATCCGAGATTCAATTGTTTCCGATTTCAGGCATCGCTAGGCATAGTTGTGGCATGGGAAAAGCACGCCGGCGGTGTCAACACAAGCGGCGGCCATTTCAGGGAGGGCGCGCTTGGCTTGGATTGATCTGGCTGCCGGGGCTGACTTCGACTTCTGTTACATTTAGCGAGCCATAATTTGCAATGATTGCAATGTTGTCAAAATAACATAAAGATAAAAGATAAAAAAATCTTAGTTAGACTCGTAACGGACAATAGTGACCACTTGCATAAAACTGTTAAACAGACTCATTACGTTATAACAGACTCATTACGTGTTTACGTAAATGTCTGTTGTAACAGTACATGGATTGTACAGACTCCTCTTACAACAGACCAAATCCTCTTCACTATGAAGGTCTGTTGTAACGAGGTTATACTGTATTGTTGAGTGTACTCAGGTCATACGCTCTTTTTTGCTTTTGGCGGGGTATGTCGAAACTAACCATGAGCCTCCCACTGGTGAAGAGTTGCTTACTGAATTGCAAAAGCTATTCGCTGGACAGAATAAGCTTATTTCCCACATGCAGGAAATTAAAAACCTACTAAAAACGACGGACGTAACGATAACAGATTTGTGCAAACGCATCAGTGACCTTGAAAAACATTGCACTGCCCTTTCATTCATGCACACAGAGCTGGTTGACCTAAAGACACTCACAAACGCAATGACTGACAAGGTCTGTAATCTCGAATCCCATGTAGACGACAGTGAGAACCGTTCGAGACGAAACAATCTTATATTTTTTATGGCATTCCGGATACTACTAAAACTGAAACGTATTCGGACTCAGAAGACATAATCGTCTGTCACTGCTGTGACACACTTCAACTAACAATTCCTCCTTCAGAAATTGAGCGTGCGCACTGCCTCGGGCGCTTCTCAGAAAACCACATTCGACCCATAATTGTAAAGTGTCAATCATTCAAGACAAAAGAATTTATCCGTTCCAACGGCCACAAATTCAAGGATACAGGCTTCAGCGTGGGCGAGGACTTCTCCCCTGCCGTACGTCATGCCCGCAAACATCTAATTGCTTTTGCAAGAACTAAGTCAATAGCTTTCACTGTGCCCTTCAAAACCCTTTCTCGGAACTAAACACTACGTCTTTGACGAGACATCGCACTCTGTGAAAGAATTAAAATAGCTTAAAAATAGCTTAAAAGAATTAAAATAGGTTGGCTTTAGTCCTTGACCAAAGCCAACCTCTCCCCAAATTGTCCCCAAATCAGCTTTTTCGTTTTCCGTGATCTTTACTAACATTATAAGTATCATTTAGAAGTGCGAACATATTTCGAATCTGGCTTTGTCACCCAACAGCGACTTTCTTATATTAACCGAAACATGGTTAAATGACAGCATCTCTGATCTAGAGGTCTCGGCCGATTTGCCTAATTTTCAACTATTTCGGAAGGATCGAAAAGATAAGAAGGTAGGAGGAGTTCTTATTGCCATAAACCAAAAAATATGCTGCTCGTTAGTTAACCTGTCATCTGACCTTGAAATAATTTGGATTTTTTGTTCTGCTAAGCCCTAGTCAGTATTACTTGTCATCTGCTACAGGCCCTCGAATAGCTGTCCTGACTTTTGTACTAACCTTAACGACGTCTTAAACAAAGTTACAAAAAAGTATCCCAACGCCCGCAGAGTTTTGTTCGGTGGTTTTAATTTTTCGGGTATTAACTGGATTTACCAAACCATGCCATCA